GCTAAAGAGCTAGATATTAACTGGCATCTGAACATACCCTATCATTCCCAGTCATGTTCGGTAGCGGAACGTTTGTATCAGCGATATAATTAAATCTAGCATATTATTATTATTATTATTATAATTATTAAAATGATGAGTGGGCCCGGTGACGTTTTGCTCGACACCAAAAGAGTTTATTAGGTCAGTAAACGCAAGTCCTAATGCATCATTTGTATTATAAACGTGAAGTTAAAATCTCAGACAATTAGCGCTTTATCAACAATAACCAATAGGTCTGAGAGGAAATCTGCAAATTATTTTAGGAAATCTGTATATGGCCCTGGTGGTCTATACACAGTAGCCAGAGCAAGAGATACGATATATTTATTTTGCATATCTGACAGTGTAACATTAAGCAGAAGTATTTAGAATGAGTTAAACCGGTCTTCGGAGTAACATTGAGAGTATCACTATATATTGTTGCAACACCGCCGCCACGACCAGTCTGTCGGGGCTCATGCTTATAACAGTAGCTTGGTGGAGTAGACTCATTTAAACCAATATAATCATTTGATTTTAGCCAGGTTTCAGTCAAGCAGAGTACATCAAAGCTAGTATTTGTGATCATTTAATTTACAATAGCTGCTTTGGGTGCGAGTTATCTAATGTTTAGGAGCCCAAACTTTAAAAATCGTTTTTGTTCATTTATTTTAAATTTTTCTGGTTTAATCACAATCAGATTTTTTCTAGATCCTGCATTAAATTTATATTTTGACCTCACTATTCGGGGAACAGACACAGTCTTTATAGATTGTACAGCACAAGTACTTCTATCATTTAAGCGGGTAGAACAAAAATCATCAGGGCAGTTATTTGAGATTTGACTTACTAGTCATTTGGTGTGTAGCGTCCTGGAGATGTTGTCCGAAAAGGAGTTCTGCTCCGACTCTGCTGGGGTGCAGCGCAAAAAAGCCTAAGTAAAACAATGGTAATGTGTGTGAATAGAGTATTAGCAATGTAAGCGAGATTAGCGGCAACCATGCTGGCGATGATAGCGGGCTATTTGCTAATAGCGGACTCGGGGGAAATCAAAATAAAACTAGTCATAACAAGGCGCTCTGATCATTTTTGTTGTAGAATACGATCGGGGATATATTCACACGTTATAGAAACAAAAATTATGGTGCATAAAATTGATTTTAAGATAAAAAAATAGACGATAAATAATTAACTTGACAGAGCTCAAACTCAAAACACACGGCAGCAACAAACAGGAAGTGACGTGTGGGGATGGGGCGTCAGTGAATGACCAGCTAACATTAATTGACTAATCATATCAGCTGCACATGTGAAAGTGTGAATGAGTACTAGTCAGGTGAAATCACTATAATACTAATTAGATTGTAAGAGCAGACTGATTGCTATAAAAGGAGGGAAGAAGCGCTTCCAATCATTGTGTTCTTGTCTGGTTACATCCAAAGAAACACGTGCAGCCATCATCGGTTTGCATCAAATTGGCCTCACATGCAAGGAAATTGCTACAAAGAATATTGCACCTGAAAGAACCTTTTACCAGATCATCAAGAACTTCAAGGAGAGTGGTTCGACTGCAGTGAAGAAGTCTTCAGGATGTCCCAGAGTGCCCAGCATGCGCCAGGACTGTCTCCTCCTGAGGAGTCAGCTATGGAATCATGTCACCACTAGTGCAGAGCTTGCTCAGGAATGGCAGCAGGTTGGTGTCAGAGCATCTGCACGCACAGTGAGGCCAAGACTTTTGGACCACGGCCTGATGTCAAGAAGGGCAGCAAAGAAGCCACTTCTCTCCAAGAAAAACGTCATGGACAGACTGAAATTCTGCAGGACGTACAAGGATTGGAAAGCAGAAGACTGATGCAAAGTTATTTTCTCTGATGAAGCCCCTTTCCGACAGTTTGGGACATCTGGAAAATCGATCGTTCAGAGAAGAAAAGGTGAACGCTACCATGAGTCCTGTGTTGTGCCAACAGTGAAGCATCCTGAGACCATCCATGTGTGGGGTTGCTTTTCAACCAAGGGAGTGGGCTCTCTCATAATTCTGCCCAAAAACACTTCCATGAATAATGAATGGTATCAAAATGTCCTGCAAGAGCGACTTCTTTCAACGATCCATGAACAATTTGGTGATTATCCATGCATGATGGAGCACCATGTCACAAAGCAAGAGTGATAAAGAAGTGGCTCGAAGATCATTACATTGAAATGGCCAGGCAACTCCCCAGATCTCAATCTCATAGAGAACCTGTGGACAAGCTGAAGCCCACAAATTGTGAACTGTAGGTTATGAAGTACAAGGGTCAACACTGTAAATATTGACTCATTATATTTTTTGCCAATAAAAGCCTTTAAAAGTTATGATATGCTTATCATTGTTTGTTCAGTATACCATAGAAACATGTGGGAAAAATCTACAAATACTGAAGCAGCATAGTTTCTTACGTCACTGCCAAAATTTGAGTGGCGATAGAGAGGAAACGGACAACACAATAGCACCTTCAGATTCAGACAGTTCTGTTTCACTCTCATTGAGTTAAAAGCATCAGAATTTCCCATAAATGCATGTTGCTATTCAGCATTACATGCAGCAAAGCTTGATTTTGATAGCTCACCGTACATTACGCTAATACACGCATATCCTGTGACGTATAAGTCCCATATTCTGTGGCATATTTATGCAAGCAGTTTGATAGGTTTTTATCACTGATGTTCTATGATGTTTAACACACATACCTCATAATCTCAGAAAATGAACTTTAGTGTTTCTTGACCCTTTAAAACCTTTTTTTTTAAACCGTTATCCATCCTGTAAATTGCCAGGAAGTAATTTAAGTAAACATGTTTCCTGACAGCTCTCATACCATGAACAATGTTTGAATGACTAATTTACTCCATAATTCTGTTTTTTTTACACGCATATCCTGTGACGTATAAGTCCCATATTCTGTGGCATATTTATGTAAGCAGTTTGATAGGTTTTTATCACTGATGTTCTATGATGTTTAACACACATACCTCATAATCTCAGAAAATGAACTTTAGTGTTTCTTGACCCTTTAAAACCTTTTTTTTTTAAACCGTTATCCATCCTGTAAATTGCCAGGAAGTAATTTAAGTAAACATGTTTCCTGACAGCTCTCATACCATGAACAATGTTTGAATGACTAATTTACTCCATAATTCTGTTTTTTCTCTCTCTAAATATTACACTAATTACTCAGCAGGAACATCTGTGTTTGTGGAGGATGAAATACCTGTTTCCATTGTTGACATGGACATTCCAGTGACAACTATTGATGAAGTTTTTGAGGATGACCAGTGCAGCTTCAGTGAGTGTGAGGCAGATTTGCTATGCAGCTCTCAAAACATTACCAACCAATTGTGTGCACCATGTGAAGCTATACAAAACAAAAACAGCAATGCCTGCCTGATAGAGGAGAAACACAGAAGTCACAAGAGACTACACTCACAGTTGAGAAAACCATGAGTACACCTCGAACCAGCGAGAAGCCAACACAAAACACTAAGCTTATGGAAGAGAAACTGTACAATATGGAACAGAAGGCTGTCTTCAACTCTGAGACTAAGAGTAAAGCTGTAAATGAAGAATTAAATAGTCAGAGAGACATAGTATCACAGAAGTCCCAAAGTTTTGTGTGTCCTGCTGTTCAAAGGACTCAAAAGGTTCCTGACGAGAGACTGAAGACTGCACCTATGGTCCAGAGGTTCAGTACAGAGGCTGCTTATGACGAAAGGACACCTATTATCAGAATCCCAACAGCTCAGGATAAGATCACCCAGAGTTCCGTCTCTCACTTTGGAATGAAAACCTTCACAAACCAGCTGTGTCTCAGACCAAGCCTACAGGCTCTCTAGTCATAGGTACCATTAAGATTGATGAACAGGGCAACGTGGTTACACAAAAACAAATTTCCACTGGCCCAGAGAAAAATGTCAATCCCAATGTGGACGCTAATACAGAAACATCCCCATTGGACAAAGCCAAAACATTCTGGAGCACTGAAGAAAAGCAAGACCAATCAACTACGATCAACCGAGGGCCCATAGTAAACAACAGAGATACTGATGTGTTCAAACCCTCGATTGTGTCTGGAGTCTCTAAACTTTCAGTGAAAACACCTCCTGAGGAAACACACAAAGAGGTCATTATATTGGAAAGGAAGCCCATATCTGTAGTGGCAAGTAAGCCTTCATTCCCAGAGCCTGCAGAAAATCCCTCTTTCACAGCTGAAAGGCGAGATCTCTCTTTTCTTATACCCTCCAGAAGAACCTCCAGCCAATACATAGCTTCTGCCATTGCTAAAAATAATAGCATTCCCAACACTAAAACAGATATCAAGCAGGCACCATCAGAGTCCATTGTTGGTGTTCAAAAACCTGTCAGTCAACGGTTTAATAGTGAGGTTAGACTTACAATCATACACAAAACTGCTAATGCTTTCAAACCCCCCCAAAATTCAAGGCCTTCTTTTGGACACCCTAAACACCTGAAAAGTTACATCAGTCATGTTGCCGAAAAGCCAGCAAGTTCTGAGAGAATAAGCAGTGTTGAAAAAGGCACTCTGCTTGGGGAAGACAGAACCAAATCTCTTGAATCACATCCCTTAAATAACAAAATCCAGCCTTCTACACATATGTCTGCTCACATTAAACACACGGAGTCTTCCTCTGAAGAAGCCACACCAATCAATAAGTTCCCAGACACCTCCTCTGCCAGAGAGACGCCAACAGACACCACACGTCCACCACTTACAAAGAAGGCAGAGGTACACAAATCTGAGATTCCATATGATCCAAACCAGGCTAACTTGTTCGGACCAGTTAAGAAGTTCAAGCCTGTTACTTTTAAGCCTGAACAGAAGAACATTTCTATTCATAGCTTGCTTATGGAGGCCATACAGTCTGGAGAGTGCATTGAACAGCTCAGAAAGGTAAACTGTCAATCACAGCATGAAAGTAAATGTATCAGCTTTTTGGAATATCTTAAGATGGAATGTTTTTACAACTTTGTTAAAGATATTATGATTAAAGATTTTTAAAATTTTCAGGAATGAAAATGAGAATTTAATGTATTAAATCTGTCTAATGTCTTGCTTTTCACATTGTTCAGGTGTCTGGCTTGTCTACCAACTGCACAGTTAGGAAGCCAACTTACAATTATGCAGATAACGAGCATTCAGAACTTCTTTCCGCAATAAGAGCTCCAAACAACTCTGCCAGACTGAAGAAGGTAAGCTAAATATTAGTGACACTTAAGGTGTGGTAGGGTTGAAAAGCGGCAGAAATTTCTGGAAGCTTTCCGGAAATTTCAGAAAATTGTCAAAATGTTCCAAAAGTTTCCAAAAATTCAAGTTTATGGAAATTTACCAGATAATTTCTGCCCCTTTACAACTCTAAGGTGTGGTCACATTAGTGAAAATTTGTGGGCAAAGACACTGGAAATTTGCATCATCTTGAACCCAATGAGAAATCCTTGTGATTTTTTGGCTGAAATTCCAGATTTTGCCCAAAATTCTAGATTGTGCTGATTCTTACTGAAATAACTGAATTTTCATTTGCTAAATTTTGCACAGCAACGGTAAATGTGAGCACATCTTTTTGTGGACAACAATGTGACACTTACTTTTACACTTACCTTTGTACTGTGAAATTCTGCAGGCAAAAAAAGGATGGACCAGATGTTATGTGCAAACAGGTTTTTTTTATGCTGCACTCTAAATCTTTGAACAGTGCTATTAAAAAAGAAGTGGCTGAGTAAGCACTGCTTGAATTCCTCATTCATTGTGAATGTTAGCAGGGTGGCCGCAGTTCCTTATCATGAAAAGTCTGACTTTTTCCGTGTTTAAGAGCTATAATCGGGTCCCCGGTGCATCTACCAACCCAGGAAACATGAAAAAGATTAACCCTGTAACTTTATTTTGGTAAGCCTCTTTCTGCAAGCGTTTGAAAAAATGAGCGCGTCAGATTTCGCTCCCTGTGTGACATGGCAAATGGATCTTATTATAATATCACTGCCCCTCAATCTGCACGTTTCCACCCACGGCACCGCAATTCTGTTTTCGCATAATTCGCAAGCGACAACGGTGTACCAGTTCTAACGCCATGGCAAAAGTTTGAGCAAAGCATGCTAACTGTTCTATCAGTAGCTGCACAAACAAGCACAGAACACTATTTAGAGTCCCAGCCTCAGAGGAGACAAGAGAGCAGTGGATTTATTTATTTACTGTGTATTACGCTGCTGCCACACAGATCTAATATAAGCATGCAATTTCTTTCCCAGCTGTTTGGATATGTGTGCTTTGGATGTGTGCGCTCAGAAAACCCTATATCAGAAGTTTAATCTAATGTGGCTTTAAAACACATGATTTCAGCACGATAGACATGATAATCAAAACCAAACAGAAGGTTTTTTAAAAAATTTTATTAGAGTATCTTTTGTTACGAGCTGTAAAGGCACAGTCCTATTCTGAAAAAGGGGGCGAGGAGCAGCAGCTCATTTGCATTTAAAGAGATAAGCACTAAAACAGTGTTTCTGCTTCCACTCAAAATAGGCATTTTCAAAATAATATAATAAATGATCTGTGGAATATTTTGAGCTGAAACTTATGCGTAGCGCATACGCCGGTGAGTATATGCTAGTCTCGTGAAAACCAACGTTTGTTTACAGGAGCAAAGGAAGCAAAGTTTCCTTACTCCAGCAAAGGAAAACCAGTTTCCTCTTGGCTTATATCGAAATCCTCCGACATTTTTCTTTACAAATCCTCATTTTGTACTTCTAATTCGTGACCGGTGTTTTGTTTTGTTTTGTTCTCTCCTCTCTGCTTGCGCATTCGTCACTTCTCACCGGCGCATTTGCCACACATACGTCCTACGTCATCCAGCTGGAATGAACGTGCATACAACAGCGGAAGCTAGAGATTACGGTTTATAATGTTTTAAATATGGATATTTTTCGTACAAAAAAACATTGATTCGCTACAGGAGGCCTTTATTATTGAAGATTTATTCCCCCGCTGTAGTTAGTAGTTACTGCGTCATCAGAGAGAATTGCAGTAGAATACAGGTCTAATTTGAAAAATAAATAAATTACAGCTCTAACTAGCTAGCTGACCTGCCTCCTAGCTATTTTAAATGGGTTAATGCAAGTTTACTTTACTTGATACGTACACCACCAAAAATCTTGGTGACGCGGTGCTTTTGTGGGAATATTTTGTATGGGATATTGTCTACTGATATGAAAAGTTCACTGTATATCGTAATAATAAAATATTGCTGTCAAAAATGCTGTTTGTTTTCTTTTTACATTAAACACATTAAATATTATATATACGCATGTAATATAATGTGTATTTCCATCACAAGTTTGGTCTTAAATTTTACATGAGGTGGTATTAAAAAAGTTTAAATTTTTAAGTTAAATTTAACTTGTTCAGGATCAGGAAACAGTCCTCCATAAAATGTGCTGCACACATCTGAATACTTGGGTTGAACTGTTCTGGAACAGTGTTGTAAATACAACTTGACAACCACTGATTTCTAGTCATGTCCTCTTTTGCAAGGCCAAACAAAGTAGTTTCGCTTTCACAACGAAACACACGGCGGGCTTGAGTGAGGAACGGCCGGCGGGCTTGCGCCAACCACATGTGATGACCCCGGGCTGGACTCCGCTTCGTCCATGGTGAAAGCCGACCAGCACGGATCAGCTCTAGGCTCGACGAAGTGGATATCGTCCTCTTTTGGAAGGTCAAACAAAGTAGTTTCTCTTTCACAACGAAACACACAGCGTCTTCACGACATGGCGGCAGCAACAATACTACAGCGAGAATAAAAGTTACGCCTTCTTTCTTTGCGTGACCATTTGGGGGGCATTATACAAATCTTCCCACATCGTGACGTAGACATGTGGGGGCGTGTTAGAACGAGCAGTTTTAGGTAGGCGTGGTTAACTCTTAACTTTTATAAAGAATATCTCTTTGGATTTGAGACTTTAGTCTTTGCAACTTTACAGATCTTCTTTATGCACCATGAGCTTGTAACACTTCAAAGAGAAAGGAAAAATTGAAATCGCATCATATGACCCCTTTAAGTTAACTATAAATGCCATGTCATTGTCGTACTTCTAGACCAAATCAGGAGCAGCTAAGGAGTTGGAGCTGATCAGGAAACTTGAGGAGGACAGAAATGTCCAGAGAGATGATATCTCACCTCCTCCCACTTCTTCTGCTGCCTTTGTGCCATCCCCACCTCCACCTTCAGCTCCAGTCAAGACCCCTCTAGTGCTGCCTGCTGGAGGAAACTCAGAGTCTGCCCGAGAGGCTCTTCTGGAGGCCATTCGCTCAGGCTCTGGGGCTCAACATCTGAAGAAGGTAAGAGGCTCATTACAGCCCAAGCTTGTTTTAAAGAAACCATATAGGAGAAATGTCTAAAAAAAAATAGATTTGAGATAAATTTACTACTTTTGGTATTTTACCACAAATTTTCCACAAATTTTGCAGGCCCGAGAGGCTCTTCTGGAGGCCATTCGCTCAGGCTCTGGGGCTCAACATCTGAAGAAGGTAAGAGGCTCATTACAGCCCAAGCTTGTTTTAAAGAAACCATATAGGAGAAATGTCTAAAAAAAATAGATTTTAGATAAATTTACTACTTTTGGTATTTTACCACTAATTTTCCACAAATTTTGCAGCTTAATGATTTTTTACATTAATTTATGTGGAGTTTGTTTGAAAGTTGGTAACACCAAAGACAGTAACACCAGAGATACCATCATACGGATTAAATTGCATTCAAAACATTTATCTCTTGAATAAAAGACAAAAATATTACAACTTAAAACTTTCAATTACACAGGTCCCTGTCACACAGACAAGACGGCAAGTGAATGGGAGACTTGGCACCATCCAGACAACATCACCACTTTCTTATGGACACTAGAAACCTTCACTGGATCACCGTTTGGGTTTACCCATCGCCAAATCTGGTGTTTAAGCATACATTCTTTATTTATAGTGATATGCTGCTTCACATCCATGCCAATACTAATTTGTCTAGTTTCAGGCAGTTTATGTCTTGTTACTGAAATTCTAATGATGACAGTGTAGTTCTTTGTTAATGCTGCTTTGAGTTAGATTTTTTTCTCTCTCTCATATGTCTGCCTGACTTCTATATCTCTATCAGTATTATACCTGAATATATTATGCAGGTATTTGCTGTTGCATAACAGTATAAGGTGGTGGGCTGCAATTGAATCCACCTGCCAACCACAACAGTCTATGGCTTTTTGATATTTATTTTTTAAAGGAACACTAAGTGGTAAAATGGAAAACACTGAGATATTTTTATTTAATCAATATTATAAAGGTGTTTCTTTAAATGTTTTGTTATTTTGTTATATATAGATTTTGATAATTAGATCACAATCTATTTTCATTAGAAAAGTGGACTAGAAACGAACCATTCTTGACACTCTTATTTTTGAAGCATTGTACAGTAGATACACATGCCGTATATTTGACCAATACTAATGCACTTTCTCTAACACAGATTCATTTGAAAGCCTTGTAGATACTGTATGATTGGACATAATGTAATCAATTCCTTTTCACCAGTCTGCTGAACAGCTGTGATCTAGAGCTATCATGGTGATTCAGCTTTAATTTATTCCATTGCGAAAATCCTACACTACTATAATTAGAGTAAATTGTTTAATATATTTACACGTTGTAAATATATTTATGTTGTTAGCATTATAGACTATATGACAGGTCTGTACAGTGGCAATCTTATTGAATAAATTACTTGAGTATAAGTCGACAGGTGATTATTTTGTAAAACATATACCTGACAATAATATAGTAAGTTTCAAATCTGACACTAAAGCATTAGTGTAATGAAAAGATTTTTAAATAATGCTTTTGTAATGTCATTTTTTTATTGCAGCACAAACTGAATCAAACTTGTAAATCAATAAAAAAAATTTAAAAAAAATTATAGACTATATGACAGGTCTGTACAGTGGCAATCTTATTGAATAAATTACTTGAGTATAAGTCGACAGGTGATTATTTTGTAAAACATATACCTGACACTAATATAGTAAGTTTCAAATCTGACACTAAAGCATTAGTGTAATGAAAAGATTTTTAAATAATGCTTTTGTAATGTCATTTTTTTTATTGCAGCACAAACTGAATCAAACTTGTAAATCAATAAAAAAAAAAAATATATATACAGGCTTTCTTTACATTGCTTTTACATTGCATTGAGAAATAACAAATTGTATGCATATACTCTAAAAGGATTGGCTGCAGGACTTTTTACATTTTCAATTGTTTTACAATTTCAGTTTCAATTATAATTGTTTAGTCTAGATGCCACTGGCATTGTTTGTAATTTTGCAATGATTGTCATAAATAAAACATAAGCAATAAGCTGCAGACAAGTGCAGAGGACTCAAAATAACACAACTTAATAAATTAATTGTAAAAAGTCTGAAAAATGCCAAAATAAATGTATATTTCAATCCAGTTTCAAAATTGATATGGTGTGAGACTGACTAAAACACATTGCCACACTGTGACCAGTACCCAGTCACAATACTGTATAGGTTTTGAAGTATGTTATGTTAGGTTTTCATTTAAAAAAGCTTGCCGGCATATAGGACAGCATTTTAAAGCACTAGTACATGATTCTGAAGGTTCATCTCCTGTCAGGAAAAACTGGCTTGTCTTGCAAGATTATATACCTCTTGCACCATGTCTTCGTTTATCATTCAACTTGTTTGTCTTGTTCTCCAGCTGACAACAGTTCAGGCATATGTTTGGACAATTGCCATGAAACCGTTGCATTCTCCATATGATGAACAAAAAGGCTTTCCAGGGCAGCCCTTACTGGCTTGGTAGCTTAAGATTGATTATACAGCCGATGATGGTTAACAACTTTCCCTTGAGCCTGATTGAAATGATAAGATACACAAAACGGTTGGATGAGGATTGAAATCACAGTGGTTCCCACTATTAAGAAATCGCTTATTCTTTTAATCTATATCTATTAATATATCTCTTTAATCTATTAAGTCTTCTCACTCTATAATCAGTATAACCAGATAATATATATTATTGTGTTTTTTTTTTATTGCAATCCACAGAGAAGTCAAAAGTTGTGGGAACTCTGGGAAACTCTAAAATTGATTTGAAAGTTACAGTATGTCCTCCTGTAATGGTATTATTGGTTCTCTAGCATTCTTGCTTGAAAGGCTTGTAAGTGCACACTTCAGCTAAAATCAAACAAATTTACAGTAAGTCAGACCAGTTAGTCAGATGTTTTACAGAAAGTTGTAGTTAATTAGCTTTGGTCTGGCTTAAGTCTACCTGACTTGAGGCTGAGGAAACCCCAAACTGTCAGGTTTGGCAAGGTATGGATCGATCTCTCACGGTCTTGTTAGGGCATCAACTTAATGCCCACACAGACCTCTATCAAAAGCCATACGCAAACTAATGGTTATGAAGTTTTACCAAAGGTAGAGATGCCTTTACTGGCAATGATCAGATCAGATCCTAGTAAGCCTGTTTCTTGGAACTGGAATTAATTATGGTTTTATGAAATCCAGCAAGCTATTAATAGACCTTTAATTACAGCCAACTCATTACAGACAGACTCTCCAGTGTTATCATTTGCTGTTTCGCTCAATCCGCATCATAAAAAGTGTTATCCATTATGCAAGCGTTTTCTGTCTTGTCTGACAAACTGCAATTTAGACCCACTAATTTGTTAGTTTCTAAGAGCATATTTAATAGTCTATTTATGTTGGGCAAATGCAAAAGTCCCCTTTCAAAAATATTCCTTGTATCTAAGAGAGGTCTGTTGATATGCACTACCATGCCTCATTCGGCATCATAAACCATCTTCTCTTTCTTATATTAATGTGTCATTACATATTTTGGCAGAGCCTGTGTGCTCTGAGGGTTGTGGGCTGGAGGCTAGAGCACTGTCTGTCTCTGGGCAGGCTCCTCCTCATCCTGATGGGGTAATCCCCTCTATGGCGGATGGCAGTAAATTCTTTCCCTCCCACAATCCCTCTGTTGGTCAGAATTCCGGCTCGTTTGTGGCCAATCTGATATGCGTTACGAATCTGCAAAATGACTGTTTGCTTCCAAACTGGGGAAGCCATTAGTATAGGAAAACAAAACTCTGAAGAAATTAGATCAAAGGTCACAGTGATATATTTTATATGTGAGAGAGGCATCAATATTGTACAATCATTTATGGAAGTGGATCAGCAGGTATTTGAATCTGTCCTTCTCATGACAAATGCTAGAAACTTGGCTTTCTGAGGAAAGATTGCTATCAAATAGCACACCTAGGTTCCTAACTGATGACGAAGAATTGACAGAGCAGCCATCACGTCTTAGAGAGTATTCTAGGTTATTATATGCAGAGTTTTTAGGTCCTATAATTAACACCTCTGTTTTTTCAGTAGCAGTAAGAAATTATTCATCATCCAGTTTTTTACTCTGCATTTTACTATACACGACTATGCATTCCGCAAGTTTTTCAAATTGGTATGTTTCGCCGGGCTGCGAAGAAATATAGAGCTGAGTATCATCAGCATAACAGTGAAAGCTAACACCGTGCTTCCTGATGATATCTCCCAAGGGTAACATGTAAAGTGTGAAGAGTAACGGCCCTAGTACTGAGCCTTGAGGTACTCCATACTGCACTTGTGATCGATGTGATACCTCTTCATTCACTGCTACGAATTGATGGCGGTCATATAAGTACGATTTAAACCATGCTAATGCACTTCCATTAATGCCAACAAAGTTTTCTAGTCTATGCAAGAGAATGATGTGGTCAATAGTGTCGAACGCAGCGCTAAGATCCAATAGCACTAATAGAGAGATACAAGCACAATCAGATGATAAGAGCAGGTCATTTGTTATTCTAACGAGAGCAGTCTCAGTACTATGATATGGTCTAAATCCTGACTGGAAATCATCACAGATACCATTTGTCTCTAAGAAGGAATATAACTGTGAGGATACTACCTTTTCTAGTATCTTGGACAGAAAAAGGAGATTTGAGATCGGTCTTTAATTAACTAGTTCTTTGGGGTCAAGTTGTACAGCTTTGACCTATGGAAATCACATAGGACTGAGTTTATTTGACATTTCAGAGGATTAAATGGTTGAAAGTATATTTGATTAAGTAACTAAACTTAATAGGCCAACATATTTGAGTTACAGTGGAATAGAGCACAGATCAACTATACTATCTGCTATACAGGTAAGCAGTTATAATCTTCTTTTAAAATGAGCTTTCACCCAAACTGCATAAAAACAGATGCGTGTTGCCCTAAAGCAGCTTCCCAAATGGGGGTTAATGAGGGAACTACAGGGGGTTTGTAAGATGATGAAAAGCTTAATAATTATTTATAATAAATGTAAAATAAAAATAACTGTTTTTCATTATTATAATTTTCAAATATTCATTTTATACTGTATGTTAAAACACTTAAGACAAATTACTACTACTACTATTATAATCAGCATCAGATCACTGTAAACATACAAATGTGTTGTTGAATTATTACAACATTAAATTAAAGTAAATATTTTACCTCTAAGGAGTTCAGCTGATAAAAAGTTTGGGAACTCCTGCTTTCATCTTGGAAGCAAACAACGTGGAAGGATGAGAACTGTATAGTTCCAAAAGGGGGTTTTCACAGCAATGCCATTTTTACTTTCTAAAAATAACCTTTTTGTTTAGCATGAAGAGCAATCTGAAGAACCTTTTTCCACTACATATAGCACCCTTATTGCAATGGATGTTAAGGGTTCTTCATGGAACCCTTGATGTCAACAAAGAGCTTTCATTTTTAAGAGTGGATGCTAAAACTTGAATAGTCTCATATACAAAAGCTTGACATCAGATAGAAATCACAGATGTTTGAATGCATTTACAGAACATTTCCAGAGGCGGACAGTAACTAAGTACATTTACTTGAGTATTGTACTTACAGGTGCATCTCAATAAATTAGAATGACGTGGAAAAGTTAATTTATTTCAGTAATTCAACTCAAATTGTTAATTAAATTCAATGCACACAGACTGAAGTAGTTTAAATCGTTGGTTCTTTTAATTGTGATGATTTTGGCTCACATTTAACAAAAACCCACCAGTTCACTATCTCAACAAATTAGAATATGGTGACATGCCAATCAGCTAATCAACTCAAAACACCTGCAAAGGTTTTCTGAGCCTTCAAAATGGTCTCTCAGTTAAAGTAGAAAGTCGTTAGCAGCTTTGAAAGTCAGTAGGTGATTTTTCTTCTTCTCTAAAACGGGACTTTCTTTTATCAGACAGTTTATCAGTGATTTCCCAGCATTTTTTGAGCACTGACCAGTTCCAAATGTGATATATATTTACAACAATTCAATAATAAGAAGTTAATATTGTGGTTTATATTAGACACAATATTGTCTGATTTTGCTAAATTGTGTAAGTGAAAATTTTACCTATAAAGCCACAGAAGAACTGTTGTACGTCTCCTAATAAAACACAAAAGGTGTTTGACTGAAGCAGCACTGCACAGACCATTCGGTGTGTGACATCAAAGTACAGCGAGAGCGATTAGAGCGATCAGCATTTTTTTACATTTTTTGTTTTGATGTCAAATAAGTCTTGCTGTTTTGCATTTTTGTTAAAGCAGTGTTGTTGTTGTAAAGTTACACAGCTACAGTTGTGTTGCTGGGTTTTTAAAGCAGGTTTGATTTTTTTTTATTTTCTTCCTTATCAGTCTGTATTTACAGCAATTTCACTGTCCGCTCTGTTCAAATGTGGATGAATAGTAACACATAGATGTGTTCAGAGCTGTGTGAGATCACTACCATCCTGCTTTTGTGGGGGTGGGTAGGGGTGTTAAATAATTTTTTTGTTTAGTTTTTTCCCCTTAGGTTTTTAACATTCTAAAAGCTCTTTATTCCAAAGATACTACAAGCTAGTCAGTGTATTCAGTAGGTGTAATGTATTGTAAGTTGCTACAGAGGTATTGCAAGTATTACATACAATAATAATAATAAAACAGTTCATTGACATAAATAAGGAAATTGTTACGGGGCGAACGAGATGTGAGACGTGCGGATCCATCTGCAAAGCTTTTATTTAAAAGCGTGGTCAT